TGGGAATCGCTGATGAAGAGCTGTCAGCAGTGCACGGTGCAGTACCTCCGCCTTTTCCTCAGTCGAGAGGGAACCAGTCGATACATCTTTCGTCTTGCCTGACGCGGGCGGGGCAGGTGTGGGCCCTTCTTCTACGGACTTCTCCAAACTGCACGACTTCTTTGCTGAGCCCGGCAGGCAAATATCGCGTGGCAATGCAAGGTGGTGCAGCTGCATCCTGAAGTAGTCCACCTCGGGCTCCAGGAAAATCATCGCCTTTTCCACCACCACCTTGCAAAAACGCGAGTCCAAAACCAAAAATAGGAAAAGCACCCAACAGGCCAAAAAAAGATAATATAAAAGAGGGAATTAAACGCAAACTCTCTTGTGTGTCTCTCGGGGTCTTTTTGTGGTTCACTCCCTCCTCCGCCGTGTGAAATCGTCTAACAATTAGAGAGAAAGAGAGGGAGAGTCAAATAAATAAATAAAGTAAAATAAAATAAAAGTTGTGTGTTTTTTCTATTAAAAAAAATGAAAATGAAAATAAAAATAAAAGAAAACGGGTCTAAATTTTCTAAAGAGTGAAAGTACGTGTCGTGCTACACCGGAGATGTGGCGAATGGACTATGCCTCACTGCGTTCCCTAATAAAGAGATGAGTAAAGAAAAGAAGGCACCATACATTTTCCTCCAGTCGGTCCTTATTCTCTCATAAACTAACGCTCAATGCCCCAGAGAGCGTCTACACATCTAATCTTTATCACCCACCATTTTTGACTGCAGACAGAAAAAAAAAAAAAAAGAAAAGGACAATATGGATTTACCAAAACCGCCTTTAACCCGATGTTCACGTGGGGCGGAAATTGCTGTGGTTTGAGGTAGACCCCCCACAATTACTATTTACGACATTCTATCTGGGGGTTCATTGAGTAAGGAGATGGTACGTTGAATATTTCACGCATACACCAAAAGCTGCAGTGCAGGCCATTCCCACTCGTGGAGTTTCAAGAAAAAACAATTAACGCGAAAAGCAGGAAAAAAAAAGAAAAAAGAAAAAGACAAGCACCTCAATTAAACCTTCTCCTCGGCTCCTTCAAAGAGTGCAGCCGCAACACACAATTGGGGATGACGGCCTGGCTCAATGCACTCAAAATGCTCGCACACCCCAAAAGGGGATTCACTCCACACTCATGCACACACACACACAAGAAGTGGCAGTCTTTCGGGCTCCGCAGCCGCCGGACCCCTCACCGTGTGGAGGGCAGTCGTGGCGGAGTGGTCGGCATCTTTGGAGACAACAATCAAGTAATAAAGAAAAAAAACACGGTTATATAAAAAGGACACGGTATACTCCACTTGACTCCATCCGATAGCACATTCCTTTCCACAAACTTCTAAGATGGAAAAAAGAAACGCAGTCGTGAGCGGAAAAAAATATTATTTTTGAAGAAAAAAATTAATGTCGCGAAGAGATATTTTGGGATCCCACCACAATTACACACACACACACCGGCAAAGCGAGCGAAAGCCGATACATCTTATTTCTACCCCCCAAACACACACACAATCTCTTCCTTTTCTCCTTTCACATCTGTGTATGACGCATAATTGATAGGGGACGAGTCCCGCGCACGAAGTTTGGTCCTTCCACAGCGGCGCCAATGTTTTAGGCGGAGAACCACAGAGCGCTGGGATCAACGAGCCCACCCGTTCACACCTGTGCCATAATTCTTGTTACACATTGTGCGCGTGGCCCTGCCCCTAGGTACAAGCATGGTCACAACAGAACACATCTCAATAACAGCCGGAAGTCGCTCCCGTATTTCGCCGTCTGTCTCACAGCTTGCCAACAATAATTCAGTGCGTGAAGCTGAATTGTTCGCGGCGGAATGGTGATATGAGCGCGTGTCCACGTCTATGATGGTGCGTGTTGTGTTCCATATCGTCGTAAATGGCCAGTGCGTGTGGTTACCTGAATACAATGAGGGGATGCGCGAGACAAATTTGACAAACCCCGCAAACCAACTTGTTACGCTCAGCTGACCGTCTGTGGGATTGGCATGCGGTGCCACCTGCAAACCCCCGCCAAACCACCGCCCGTTGGCAAAGGCCAAAACTGATGATTTCAAGCAAATCCATCGGCCAGGCACGTCTGTGTCATTTATGGCGGCAATAATTTCCTCTGGCGTCTTAGCGTCCCTACAACATTGATCGGAATAAAATGGATTGATGACAGCTTCCCCAGTATTGGCAGGAGCAGCATGATCGGGGGCGACAAGCAACATCTTAGCGTCATAGGCGTAGTAGTTTGCTCAAAACGAAGTGGCTCCATTGCTGGAAGTGCCTCCCACCCTACAGACGTTTTCACCCATTGAGATCACGCTGCACACCTTGAATCGCCGCGTCATTCATTAGGATGTGCGGGTGTAGCATTTCACTGGCGATGCGGCGCGGGATGAGTCTGTTGGAGGGCAGTGAAGCAACTTCGGGAAGGGGAACAAAACGAAAAGGCTTGGGTCTTATCTGAAACACAGAGACTATGGACGCCACGGCAAACATGATCCTGCCTCCTGCCAGGGAAAGAATTTTGCTTCTTTTATAATTTTCACACTTCTCTATGACGTCGCAAGAGAGACCACATGAACATTCATTTATGAAAAAATAACTTCTTCCGCTGCGAGGAAACGAGACACGTCCCACATCCACATCATAAACGTCAAATCCAAGTGAATTCAAAGCATTCTTTTCGTGTATTCTGCTATATTGCTCACGGGTACTATTAGACCCATGATTATTACGGTTACTGGTGGTGGTGCTGCGATATGCACCATTTACTACGTTGTCCGACAATGCCGGTGATGAACACGGTGTAGGGTGTCCCCAGAGGCCGCGCAAGAGATTCACGAACTCTTGCTCATCGCGGCAGCATAAATTCAATCTAGCAAAGTCCGTGCCCGTACCGGCCAAAATATAAATTAGAGGTGGGAGAAAGTGCCGCAGTATGGATCTGTCTTCAAGGAATTGCCAGTAATGCCGCACTGAGTCCAGCTCGCCTGTAAAGGTCGTACCAGTTTTCACACAAGTTGGTATAATTTCTCGAAACGCCCCCAGGGTGCCACGACAGAGACCATTCACAACGTCATTTAGGGAGCCATCCCCTCCAACGGCTACAAAGACGTGAAGTAAATTCAATTGTTTTTTTTCATTATTTATGACCGCTAACGTCGATGCATCTGCTGCTGTTTTTTTTTCAAGACAACGGCGTAGACGAGAGGCTACCGCTGTCTTCGTGAGATGTTCGGCAATCTCCTGTCCACGTGTGTTATGCTCCGTGACAATAATATCCACCTGCATTCCGCCACCACGATTATAACGCATCAATTCTTCGTCTGTGTTGGACCCCGCCTGTTCCGGTTGTCCATCGGAGAACTCCGGTGGCCGTGCTGCACTTAATGGGATTCCCTGTAGAGCTTCACCGTCCCGCGTAACCGAATCTTCAGCGTCACTGCCTGACATAAATTCACTGGCGGCGTGGACGCGAGTAACGCAGTCGCGAAATTCCCTCCACAGCGCTTTCTGAATGCTATGCAGCAGCACTTTACCCTGCCCATGGCCACTCGTCGGGTTGATGATCACCCAAACCTGGAGCCGAGGCATCGTATTGTTTTCATGCATCGTGTCATTCCCGAAAAACATTATTATTCCTAATTTCAGTCAAAGCACCTCCAAATTCTTTTCCTTCGCCTTTCTTATCCCCAAACCCCTGGTTCTGTGGCGCAAAGAAAGAAAGTTTTAAAACAGAAAAAGCCAAACAAATAAACAAACAAAAGTTAATTTGGTTGAAAGAATACAACAACACTAATAGACACATGGTAACAGTTTACATTTTATTTTATTTTTTAATCACCATAAAATGCAATTAAACCCATATGCATACAAAATTAATTCTTATCATGTACACATACATCACACACACACACACACTCTCTCTCTCTATATTATATTATATTAGATTATGTATAGATGTATAGATGTATCTGTGTACGATGATAACAATGTACGCATGTGTGCATAAAAAGTGAATAGATAAATGAATGCTAAGAGTGTCAGCTGGCCCAAATTTTATGATCTTATCTTCACACCCCCTGCCAAGAAGAAGTAGCCACTAACCCCCGCCATTCCCCTGAGAAACGGCGTGGATTGTGTGCACACTGTCCAACAAGTCATGGGAAAAAAAATTGAAGACAAATACGCACACAAACACACACACGAAGAAAAGAACAAAAAACCCGAAAAGCCAGTTTATAATAGTCATTCAAAACAAAAAATCATTGGAGCAGCGTACCCCCTTCCCATTCGCTTCGGTTCCTCCTCCTCTTTCTCTTTCCTCCTCTCTATCCCAATTCCCCAATACGACCATGTACACAAGGAGAAAGAAAGAGCGTTCCCATGGGGCATTAAAAAACAAAACAAAAAAAAAACAAAAAAAAAAAAACAACAACAACAAAATAGAATGGAAAAAAAGACTGGAAAATACACGGAGAAAAAAACAACGGAGAACATAAGAAATAAAAAGCAAGGCCACAACAGGCGTACCGGGAATAACAACGACGATACTCCTCCTTTTCATGCAAAAAAAAGGATAAATCTCAGAGGTGCCCCAAAAGCTAGTACCACAGCGCAAGCATTTTCCCTCTCCATGGAAAGTGAGAAAACCAAATATGAATTCCCGTGTTTCATTCCCACCAATGCTGTGGTACACGCAAAAAAGCATCCATTCCTCCCTTGTCTTTCAATAATCTTCTTGTCTTCGCTCATGGGGTGTTCCCGGTGTCAGCCACGGACCGCTTGCATCCCACATCTCACGTTTTTTCTTTTTATATGTTTCTTTTTTCTCTCCTTTTTTTTTTCGTTCATTTTTTATTATTTTCGCTTTCAGCAGCATTCTATATCGTATTGTCGTTATCCGCTGCATGCAGTTTCTTGTCATCGGCGTTGTTCGTGCCGTGACCATCCAGTTTTGTGGACAGCAGCTCCGACACCGTTCGCACAACTCGTCCTTGTCCTGCCTCAACCGTGTCGCACAGCCTGTCACACAAGGCGGAGATCTGCCGCTGTGCTGCCTTCTGCTGGCTCTCCAACAGGCTTCTCGTCCGCTCGTCCGAGTTTTGGCTGAAAGAGCTCAAAGCCCTTTCCATCGCGGTCTGAATGCGCTGTGGAAGTTCCTGAAGGATGATTTGCGTTAATTGATCATTCCCGTTACCGCCTGAACTTTCTTTCAAAAGTTGTTGCAGGTCGTGTTGTTGATCCTCGTGCATGGTCTTCAACTTCTTTGAGAGTGTTTGGTCAAGGTGGCGTTGAAGGTTCCTCTGCACGTCCTCCAGCTCCTCCCGCAGATCGAGAGAAATCTGCTGCTTGGAAGGCAATGCGCAGAGTGACTCCGCCAGACGTGCCTCCAGCGCCCGGGTGGACTCCAGGATGGCTGACGTGTCACCGGATGGGACGCCACCCGCCCCTCTTTGAAACCGCTCTATTTTATCATTGACGCTCTTCATGTCCCTTTGAAGGGCTTCCATCGCACTTCGAGTGTTGCGGAGTTGCTGCTGGACATTTCCAAACTCCTTCGTGGCATCTACAAGGACTTCTCTCTCGCCCTGAAGACCTTCCATAAGTTCTATTACACGCTCACGCGACCAGTACTCCACAAGTTTGTTCAGGGTACTCACGAGATGATCAGTGGATTTTTCATGCCGCAGCGCCACCTCCTCCAGTGCGTTGGATACAACCGAACGCAACACGTTTTCAGAAAGAGACTCCGATGGACGCTGCACGGCGTCTTGACCACAATGGCGTACACTCGAGGGGGTTAATAATTCACTCCATTTCCCCCTTTCTTTTTTATACTGTTGGTGCCCTTTAGTAGCATCAGCACCATCATCTATGCTCGCGCTCCGAAGCGCGAAAAGAACATTCCTCTCAGTAAAACAATTGGGTACAGTCAACACCGTGACATCTGCCTTCGACGAAAAAGACTCCTGAAGGGCTTTTTGGTATTCCTCGCAAATAAGCTGCGCGTCCTCCGCGATAAGAAATGGCGCGCCAAGAAGCAGCAAAATTGGCACACGATTTTTTGTAATAACGTCCACGACATTCGCTTCTTTACCCTTTTTCTTACGGCACTCCCCTTCCAAAATATGGGTAATTGTGATAAGTGGCGTACGGCACGCCCCCGCACCGGTCAGTCGATAATACAAAGTGTAAACTTCCCCACCACCATATATTGGGAGGTTCATCATATCGGCAACGCGTACTCTGTCAACATATCCAGCGAAAAGGGCCCTCTCCACTTGCTTTGGAGGTTGAAACGGTGCTGCAAGCGAAGAGCAAAACATTTTTTGCAGTGACTCACGCATGTCATCTCGGGTGGGCGGAACGGAGGTGGATCGTGGCTTGACCGCCCCAGGGGGTGGAGTGTAGGATAGCTTCAATGATCCGTCTTTATTTGTTTTTTTGCTTACATTCGCATTTTTTTTGCCCTTGTTTGAAGAAGTAGATGTCTTTGTTTCAGTCTTTGTCGTGGTGGAAGCTGTGTTTTTCGCCACCGTTGAGGTTTTCTTGGTGTTTGAGCTCTTCAATACATCTTCTGCCTCGGGTGGCTGCTGTTCAGCTTCGCCCTCATGATTCTCCACCGTGACATCTTCTTGTGGATCCTTCTTCAAAGGAGCGTCGGCGTCACCGCCGCCGGTTGCATCCGCCGGCTCCCCTTCCCTCCTTTCCTCCAGTTTGTTTCCCTCGACAAGCTTCAAAACAGACTTGGCGGCGGCCGACTGCGCGGCGTCCAGGACGATAGCGGTGGCATCTTTAAGTCGGTCCCGTTGCTGGAGGGCACTTGTGAGAACGAACTCATTTGTGTCAGCATCGTCTTTATCCAATGAGGTCTGAACAAGCAAAAGAAGAGGGTGCGGGTGCTCGGGGTTGTTTTGCAGCTTGGAAACCTCCTCGTCATGTGTGATAACAAATCGCAGAATGGAGGAGGCGCTGCTGTTGGCTACGCCCGCGGTGCCGTCGATCGTCAGCACATTTGCAGTTGAGGGAAGAGGCTTCTCCAGAAGCTGCGCGAGGTCTTTCGTCTTGAATGCCGGATACATGCTGGCGAGAAGGGCATTGCCGCCATCAGCGTGAGCCTCGCGCCTGTTCGTCTCGCGTGTGCTGTGAACGGCTGTTCTCATGGCGGTCTGCGAAGCCCGACGGCGCGTTGCCGTAGGCTTTGAGCTGAGCCAGAAGAAACAACGGAACATGGGACCTGTGCAATTATATGGACAGACGCAGCTGCACCCTGTCGATTTTGAATATGAACGAATATTAATGGGAAATGTAAGCTACGGCCCTTTTCCCTCTTTAGCTTCTTTTCGTGCTCCAACTCCTCTTCCTTTTCTTTCCACCTTATACCGACACACACACACACACACACAAATAAACCGAAAGAGACAGCCGTGTGGGTTCCCTCCGCGTGGCCCATCAAAGAGAAAAAAAAAGGGCAGTTAAGCAGAATTCACAAAAAAGAAATAAAAGGAAAAAAAGTTCATGAGCGACTCACTTACACAACCAACCACCCCAAAAAACAAAAACAGATGCGAATCGGCAAAAAATAAGATTAAATTGAAATGGCGAATGTGCGGAGAATGCCCGGGCAGCTGCTGGTAGACTCTATCCCCCGCCCCCCTCCGTTTCCTTCTCGCTTCCCTCCTAAATCTCCCGCGCGATGTTAACCTCCTCGTAGGGACCGGAGTCCACAAACGGCACAAAATCGTCACGGTGCTGCGTTGGGTACTCAACATCCCAAAGGGTCAGTCCGTAAACCGGGGCAGGAGGAAATCGTTCCCGCTTGAACCGACGCCGCGACGGTTCAAACCCGCTTTGCAGTGCTTGTTGCAGCTCCAGCTCATTCCAAAGACCGTGGCCCGCTGCCTTCAACAGACTCACCATGTTTCGGATCTGGTGCCGCAGAAAAGACTTGCCAACAAACCAAATCAGCACCTCGTCGTCTTGTCGCACCACCTCCAGGCGATCAATCGTACGGATTGTCGGTAGGTTGGTGGAGGCACGATAGTACTCCCTGGAGTGGGCGCCCGGCTGTACAATACGCTGACCGTATTCGTTGAAGGTTGGAAGTGCAGCCGCACGTTCCAAGTTACTCGATCCCTTTTCTATAATCACCTTTGGCGCCTTCCCATGCGTATCCCGCGGTGACTCCCCGGTGACAGTCGGTTGTTGATGTTCGTCTAAAGCGGCTCCTGTCGACAGGCCACATGGGCTGAGCGCTGCTCGCCGAAGTGCATTGGCCATCTTGGGATCGGCAAAGTAGCCAAAATCTTTCGTTCCTTCCAAGGCTTTGGCGAAACGTTGCATGCGAGGAACATCCAAGTGACGGTCTACATGCCACTGCAGCCCGGCATCAAAAAGCGGTGGTGCAACGCGATTAAGAATGCGATACACATAAACGCGTCTCAGACCACTATGACGTGCATGAAAATCCTGATTTTTGCACCGTTGACAACTAAGGACAGCAAGAGGTTGTTGCCTTTTCTCCAACCACATCGTGGCTCGCTGGATAATGGTACGCGGCTGCAATTCGATATGACTGGGCACATCGAAGTGACAACACAAACGCCGAACGGATACCCCAACTTCCGGTATAACACCAGCAACTACCTTGACAGTATGAACATCTAGCGCCACTGCCAGGGCTTCCTCCAGCACTGTTCGAGCATGGTACCGACTACTCATCGTCTTCTTAGCGGAGGAGTCTTCCTGATCCGTGGTATCTGGCGTTAGAGGTACACGACGTACAGTTCCATCTGGTAACGTTTCCCGTCGATATAATTGACGCGATGTACTTTTCCACCATCCATCAAAGTCGCTTCCTTGATACTGCACGTCTACGCGATAACGTGTGCTTCCCGGCGGGATGATCTGCTGGCCGGGAACATATCTTTCTCCGGCTGGCAGTGTTCCTGCATGTTCTTCCGCGTGATGTACGGGAGGGAAATACAAAAAGGCATCATCCAACAGCTCCTGCTCTACGGCCTCCACACCTACAGGAGAGAAGGACTCTCCCTCCCCTCCATAGAGATTCGACAAACTGTTCCGTTCTTCCTCCTCGGACACAGTTGTGGTGACTGTGGTGGTGGTCTGTGCGGAATGTGTTCTTCCAGCCTCCTGTTGAAACCTCCTTCGTTGAGTGGTGTCTTGAAAAAGCTGCGCTATGGCCTCTTCGGCCAAGCTTTGCTGCTCCCGGTGCTGTTCATTTGACCAATGGCGGTTGCTCCAAGCGCCCTTCACCGGTACTGCCTCTCCTTCCACACGCTCCACCGTATCTTGTGCCAGATCATTGCCCTCCTCACCGTCTCTCAAATTGTGACCAAAAAAACGCCGAGTGCCCACAATACCAGCCACACCACGAATCAAAGAGGGGGCATCGTGTGAGGTGGTCCCAGCGGAGACGACCCTTCGCACCAGTGATGGGGGAACCAGCCGTGGAGGCGTGCGGATGCATGCGACCACAGCCCACATTCGGTATGCGCGGAATCTTCACTATCCTCTTTTCTTTTATCCTTCCACTCCCAATCCCACCGTGCAACAAAAAAGAATGAACGCATACCCAAAAACGACAACAAAAACAACAAAAACAATAAAAAGGGCAAAAACACAAAACCTCCAAATACAGAAAAGTAAAAGAAATAAAAATATAGAATGAAGAAAGCAAGCGAAAGTAAGAAAAATTTGCATGGCTTTGAGTTCAACTTTACGTGCCCTTGAGCCATTCCGTTTACTCTCTTCGTCACCATACGTACATACATGTGCCTGAGAGGACGTGTGTGTATTTGCCTTTTCTCATCCGCCCGATGTTGGCGCAGAGATTATGGCGCGCCAAAAATCCACAGTACTTCATTGTACGCATTGCAGGTGGAGCCTCCCTTTCAGTGGACATTAACCACAAAAAGGGAATTCAGTTCGGCAAAAAAAAACGCGTAGTTCTTAGAGGCACACTTATTTATACGTGCGTGGGCATTTAAGAAACAGGAAATTATTCTCACTGCCTCTCTGCGTACGCCACTGACGTTGTTTCCTTGGCCCTCTTCATTTTCGCTGTACTTTTTTCTCCCTTCTTTTTCTAGTTTTTCTTCTTTTCCCTTTAAAGCTGTCCCGTCGACTGTTGGTGATCCTGTTAAGCCTGTTAAAACCTTCCAGCATCGTTCTCACAATTGAGAATAACCTGCAACCCACAAAACTCCAGTTCTTTTTAATAAAAATTTTCTTCTTTCTAGACGCCTTGAGCTGCCTCTTCTCTCTGCCCTCCTTTTAAAAGCCTTCGCTTCTCCTCCAACGTCGCTACTGGCACCTCTTTTCGTAGTACAGTATACAACATACTACCGGTTTTGTGTGGCCGACAAAACAGGTGGACTGTACGCGGTCGGTGAGTAGCCCTGTCCACATCCGCAAGTAATGGTCGCTGCTTGCCGTGAAGAGAAACCGACCGCAGTCACTGAAAACACAATCCCACACCCATCGTAAGTGCCCCGTTAGGGGCTTCAATGCGATAAATTGAAGTACGCCTGTGCTATGAAGTTGTGTGTTTCCTTCCATCGTTAGTGACGGGACGACAGAGAACTGCAGTGAAGAGGCATCGGGAAAGTCACCGGGACTCGCACCTCCTTTTTCCTCCTTTTTCGCCGCTGGCTGAGCCGCTGTTCCGTCACCCACATCCACTGAGATCCTTCTATCATTTCCATTCTGTGGTGTTTCCAACACTTTTACCTCCGCCCCTTCCTGTTTATCCGCTGAAGAATTTGGTGCCTCTTCTCCTCCCGCCATGGGCTGTAACAGCGACGCTACTGCCAAAGCCACCTCTGGAGCCCCTTGTTGGGCCATGCGCCTTGCCTGCAGTCCCTCTCCGTCTGAACCCATTGCTGCCGTTGCAGACATAGCGGGGACGCTCTCACAACTGCTGGAAGCCTCATGCCCCGTGCTTTTTTTTGCGAATGCCGTACCATTTTGAAGCTCCTTCGGAATAAGAAAGCGGCCAACGGTGTAATCGGCACAGCAGGTTACCAACAGATCGGTACTGGGGGATATCGCTACTTTGAGAATGTACTTGTAATGTGCCTGGAACGAGTAAAACACTTCCAGCAAAAACTGCTCCGGAAGCAGCGAGGTCTGCAATGATGGGGCGTTTGAATGATAGTTTGTATGGGCGTCCTGCTCAGACGGAGAGGCCACGGCCAAGATACCTTGAGGGTCGGGACTGTGGGCAAGAGCTGGCGTGAGGTTTTCTCTATGAGTGAAATTTGGCCTTAATTCCGCACTCTTCAACTCATTCGCATCCACATCTTTACCGACATTGGGGAGTTGGTGCACATTCTCTAATTGTATAACACTGGCGTCACGCGGAGCTTTGGTACCGCCATTTCCGGAGACCTCACGGCTTTCAGGGATGCCGGATTCGCCCACTGGCTGCTCCGTCTCATTCTTCTCGCCGCACTCCGGTTTGTTTGCGTTCCCACACGATAGATCCGCCAAGGACTCAGAGGCGTTAACTTCCCTCGTAAAGCGCATAAAGTGCAATTTCCCTGCGTTTGTGGCGGCCACAGCCCAACGTGCCAATGGCTCAATGGCGATGCTGCGAATGGCCGTGTAGTCTGTGTCAAAGGAAATTACTTGCAACGGCGCCTGCCCAAACGGAATCCCAATAGTACTCTTCGCCTGCAGCGTCGCCACCTCAATGATCGTGGGGAGGTGCCAGACAGAGACGCGGCCTATCTGCGACCCCGTGAACAAAGTCTGACGGTCCGGCGAGAGGGCACTGCAGGTAATAGCCGCGCCGGTAGGAATATCCCATATGAGCTGCAGTGTGGTTGGACTCGCCGCGTTAAAAAAGCGGATGTGGCCATCTTCTGAGGTGGCGTAAAGCGCCGTGGACAACTCGCCGGACGGGTTTTCTTGGTACGGTTGCTGAGTGGAGACAAAATCGGCGGTTGCATTGAATAAACTGCTGTTTGAATTGTCATTGGAAGAACCAAAAAGCGTGATGACGCCCTTATGCAGATTTAGTGGAAAACTCCCCAGACTCGTCACATTCATGGCGGATTGATTCTCGTACGATGACAAGAGCGGTGGCGCCTGGCTGCTCACCCCACCACCCCCGACACTGGCTGCAGCTGCAGCGCTGGGTGCCCCAATGTCATACACACGCACGACGCCAAATCCCGCCACGACAAGGTACGTTGTATCTGGAATCAGAAGCAGCGCATTCACCTGCGAGTCCTGAAAGGAGAAACAACGCACTGTGCGACCGGAGGCGCCATCCCAGAAGCGGATCTGCTTGTCGTACGAGGCGGAAATGAGAAACGCGGCACACATTTGCAGCGAGACCCCACACCCTGCAGGACGCCACACGTACTCGCACCAAAGCTATGACGCCTCACAAGGCAGGAAATTCTCCTTCGCCCACTTCAAGACCAATAAAAATGGAGAAAAAAAAGCTTCAAATGAGGGGAAATATGCCCGTTGATTCCTTGCAAAGTCCCTTTCGTTTGTTTATTTCTTTTTCTGCTTGACGCCCCAATAAACAATAATAGAGCACTTCCGTGAGGGCTGCAAAATTCTCTTCAACCCCCTTCCCTTTCGCTTTCCTTCAGGTCTGTCTGTCCCACACCCGCAGCTCCCTAATGAGCGTCCTCGGGTGTAATCCTACAAAAACCGGTTGGATGCGTGTTGCAGCTGGGCGGCGACACCACACATCGGAGGCCCCGCACAAGAAGAACAAAACAACAAAAAAAGAATTGAATATCAGACGGGAAAAAAAAGTCTCGGGGTTCATCCGCGAACACCCACACATATAAACACACATGTGCAAAAAAGAAAAACAAATTAAAAAAACTTCTAGGCATCTGCAGCCACAGAGTGTAGGTGTGTCAACGTACACGCATATGTATGCACATAATCCGCTTCCAAGAACAGTCGTCTGCCACCCAAAAGGGCGCACACACCCAACCGTCCAAAGAAATCACCTCTAAAAACGCAGTGGGCCCTCGTGATGTAATTCATGCACACATGTATGCGCTGCGACGACGAGGCGCGGAGTGGTTGCGGTGGCAACGCAGGCGGCATGCCTCCCCATTCCACCGCCCTGCAACGTGGGGAGAAAATGCTGGCATGTATGTGGAACTATTCTTAAGAAACAACAACAGCAAAAAAAAAAAAAAGAGAAAAAGTACGGGGTCGCAAGGGCGGAAAGAACACCGGGAAACACCGCCCCAAAACAATTTCCCGAGCCAACACAACACAACAAAAACGGCAAAGATGCAATATAACAAAACTCCGATCTCACTACTGGGTCGCACTCTCTGCGTGGCTACCACCGTGTGGAAGCTGTCATGGTTTTTCCCATCTAATTGCCGTTGCCGACGAACATTTTGAGAAATAGGAAAAACAAAACGAAACAAAGAAAGAAGAAAATGGTTGCAGCCTCGCCAAAAAAAAAAAAAAAAAAAAAAAAAGAAGAAACCATAAGGGAATGACCACAAGTGCTTACATAAAACCAAGCAGATGCATACGTATGTATATTTGTCCAAAAATATGCATATTTTTGATGTGAATAACACTCTTGACAGAGGAGGGAGAGACAGGGGAAGAAGTAGCGTGGCTGCCATGCGGTGAAATTGCACCCCTCACTCCCCACATGTACAAACACACACACAGAAAAAAAAAAAAACATGCCAACGCAACACGACCTCCTCGCTCTTTTTTTTTTTTTTCGTTTCTCTTCCCCCCCGTCCGTTCCTCACTTTTTCACTCACACACAAAAAAAAAACATATTTTTTCTTCGTTCGTTCTTCACTTCCGCGTCTTTTGTGAGCCCACGCGTGTTTGCGTGTGTGTCTGTTCGCATCGCATCGCACTGCCGCCCCCCCTTTCCTCACATCCTCCACCCAACTTTTTTTTCTTTTTTCTTTTTTTCTTTTCAGATTTTCCTTCTTTTGGTTTTGGCTTTTTTTTTTTCTAAAAAAAAAAAAAGAAAAAAAAGAAAATTCGACGCCCCGCCACAATTCCCAGACTGCCCCACACAAACAACCAAAAAAAAAAAAAAAAAAAAACGCGCATGCCCCCTCTTCCATCCCCCAACAAACGTCCACACACACACACACACAAATATATATTATATAAATAATGGGTAGATGGGGGTAAGAAGGAGGAGGAGGATGTGGAATTAACTCGCAACGCACCACTCGCTTACATTTCACTCACACTCACAAACCAAAAAAAAAACAAAAAACAAAAAACAAAAAAAAACACACGCCAAAGTGAGAGTTAGAGAGTGGGGAGAGAGACAGAGAGACAGAGAGAGACAAAGAGAATAGCGGAGTGAATAGACATGACGAGGCCAACAGAAATATTGGAAATGCCAGCCACATCACCGCCACCAAATACATATATATATATATATATATATGTGCCAAGGAATAAAAAAGAAAAGAATGGGAGGGGGCAGGGAACAGACAAGCATAAACACAACGCGCCAACAAAGAAAAAAAAAAGAAAACTAAACCGCAACAGAAAAGAAAAAAAAAAAAAAAAGAAGCGCATGCGTCTGTAGACATTAGAACAATGCTCCCGTCCAGCAAGAAGCACGGAGGGGAGGGAAACAACAACAGCAACAACAAAAAAGCAGCAACCCACACAAATGGAAGTAGTATACAAACGAATTTGCAAACTGAATAATAATAAAAAAGCAAGAAGCAAAAAAAGTAAATGAGCAACAAGAAGGAATTACATCAGAAAAGGGAGTAAAAATGACCCAACTGTCCCTACATGCGTAGAAACAAAAACCTGCATATATCTACGACTGCCTCTCTCCCCCCCCACCACCTTTTTTTTTTCTTTCTTTCTTTTTGTTGTTTGTTACTGTTTGTTTCTCCCGCAAACACGCAGAGAACAGGGGGGAAAGAAGGAGCCACGCCGTTCAATGTCTCACATCCGTCTCACGTTCAACAGCCTTGCAGTTTAAACACCACCACCGCCCTTCTCCCCTCCTCGGCACGCAAAAATTAACAAAACGCCTACACTCCGGTGTTCATTACGTGCAATTCCTGACTGCTCAAGTACAGAAATACACATGTACACATCATCATATATGCATACACACGTATATCTGACTTTGGTCGCGGGCGGGTATTATGTGTGGCACAATGGTTGAAGACAAAAAAAAAAAAAAAAAAAAAAGAAAAAAAGGAAGAATATCATTATAAATTTTTTTTAAATTTTCTTCTTGTTGTTTCTTCATCACCTCTGCGACGCGGGAAATCCACAACAAGAACAACAAAAATAGCAGAAGACAGCGTCGTAATATTTCAATTACATGAAGATCGTATACACCCACCGTGTTGCAGAGCACATGGAAGAGAAAACAAACAAACAAAAAAAAACACCCCATACTAGCCCCCCTCCCCAAAAGAAAAACTAAATAAAAAACAAAACTAAAAGAAACACATAAAAGAAATGCAAAAAAAAAAAAAAAAAAGGGGGAAGAGGGGTGTCTTCGTTCGAGGGGAAAAAAAAGTGATCGTGGAAGGAAATGAGCAACACGTGGGAATCAAAGGACTCTCGTACCTCAGAAATCACCATGCATGGATGCTTCTAAGATTCAGTTAATTCCCCCCCACTCACTCACTGTTTCCCATCGCCATTTTTTTAGGTTACACTGGCCGTTGTGCACCGCCACTTCTCCCCCTACTCACCCATGCAACGTTTGCGGCATCCCCTCCACTCTCCAACTTTCAACCCTCTCCACTGCCGGTAAAAATTGCGTCAACTATACGCATCCACATGGATAGAGAGAGAGAGAGAGAGAGAGAAAAGAGAAAACCAAATAAAAAAATTTAACTATATGAGAGGCAGTGGTGCGGCCCCCCTTCGAAGGAAAAAAAAAACACACACAAAAAAACAAACGAAACCCCAGAAACACGCTCACATATAGCCCTCTTTCCTTTATTATTTTGTTCTTTTGGCTTTAAAAATAAATCAACATAAAAAACTAATATTGCTGTTCCCTTCAAATAGACCCATCCCTCTCCCTCCCCATCACCCCCGCTGTTCCCCTGGTTCATGCACGCTGGACGGAATACTCCACTCTCCACTGTCCCTTTGATTTTCTCCAGAAATTACAAAACAGGCATGCGCATGTCCATGTGGATATTTCCATATATTTTTTTATCTTCTTTATTTTGTTATGTTTATTATTCGTATTTCCTTTTGTTTTGTTTTGTTTTAATTTTCTTAAAAAATTTTTTTTCTTTAAAAATAATTTTTAAGGGATGCACACTACAGCACGGATCTCAACTTCCCCATTTCCCTCGCTTCTTAAAATTAAGCACAAATAAAGCCACTCTCACTCACTCGATCTCTCTGTCTCTCTATCTCTCTTCTTCTCCACTTCTTTTCATTTTGGTTCTTTTTTTTTCCTTCTTTTTTCTCCGGTCTCACCCTCACCCCTATTGTCACATGGGGAATAGGGGAGTTGCAGTGAATTATGTTTCACTGACTTTCACTGCCGCAGTTACTGCGGTCACTGTTGCTCTCAATGTGGTTCTGCTCTGTGCGTCGCCCCAAGCTGCGCATCCATTCCTTGAAGAGACCGGCAAAGTGACCCATCTGCCCTTGCGCAGCGCTTGTGGCACGTTCCACAATAAGATGCTTCAACACGTCTAGTTGTGCGACTCGTGCCTCCCACGCCATATTTAAATTTGTAAACGCCTGTTCATCATCCCTTAGCACATGAAAGCGGCGGCGACCATCGCTAAGGACATCGCTGTAATTCCTCTCGATACGGGCGCGCAGGCAGATGAGATAGCAGCAATTACAAATACGGCACCATGGGGCAGAGCGTACTTTGAGTCCACCACGTCCACGCCCCGATCCCCGTGTGGTGTGAGACGCCGCAACCTTCGAACGCTGGGAGAACAATTTGTCCTCATCACCCTCTTCTTGCCGCCAGTTCGTGCCATCTGTGAGTTCATACGTGTCAAACATCCAATCACATTCCTTCTTTTGGTTATTGGTGCTTTCAACAGCCACAGTGGCCTGAATCTCCCCGTTATCATCCACAACAACAACATCCTCCTCGTCCTCCTCCTGCTCACTCACCCTGTCATGTTGTAACGCATACATATCACGCCCTACCTGCGAACAACAATCATTACATAGGAGGATACCACAGCGGCGGCAGTGATGCTTCCTTACTGTTATGGAGAAAGGTTTACCACAACGTGTACAATGCGTGACGGACTCATTGCTTTGCCAGTAGTGTCTACCGGCTTGTGGGCGACCGTGGCGAAGTGTTTCCATCTGCAAAAGAATGCGCTGCTCTGCCAGCATTAGTTTATTCTCAGCGTCACGGAATGCCCTGCGTTTGACAGCGTCGTCCTCGTCAAAAACAAATTCCAACATCCCCGCACTACCAGTTTGCACTAAACTAAGGGAGTAATAAGAAAAATCCAATTCCCCGTCGTGGGTCTTCCACCCATTAACACCGCTTTTCTTATCCACACACGGGAGAGAAGTCTCCTCTTCACCGCGGTTATCTCCAGTAGGAGCATCATCATTGCCATGACCATCGGCAGCAGCAGCAACAGTATAAGTGGATTTCCTGGCACGTCTTCCTCCCAACCAACACCTTCCAGCCTTCGGAAAATCATAAAGATTGGGCGGGTTAAATCGAGACGCCAAAGAGCCACCATCATTTCCCAAACTAGTGCATTTGCCAAATGAATCGGAGGGGTCAGCAACCATCCCGTTCCGTGTCGCCCGAGGTCTTCTACCACTGAACAAAAAATTGTTGTCGTTATTATGTCCGTGAAACGGCTGATCCAACACAGCAGCGTTTCCCGTGTCCTTTTCTCCATCGTGTGCCCCTTCATCCTCAGCCGGGGGCGTAAGGATTCCATTGCATATGGCCTTCGTATTACATATCACGCTGGAAGTTACGTCAGATCCATTCGATTTGACCACAGTCACGTCATCGACAGTTGATGCTGCCTTCCTATTTCGGTTTTTCCTTCCTCTCGACGTACAAAGAGGTGAAGATAGTCCTCTTGTCACCTTTGGATTTTTCTGCTTCCACACCTCGTAGAGTTGCTGTCGTCGTTTTTCCTCCTCCCTACGGAGCTTTGAGAGTTCTTTCCTCAACTTTGCAAGCTCCGTCTCCAGGTCAACGATGCTGACATCAGCTACCCCATTCGTTGTGAGGTCACCGCCACGTTCCCCGTAGCCTAAAACCACAAATGGAGATGGGGGTCGCAGCATTTCTTCTTTTCCATCTCCCTCCTCAGTGGCCTTCAGGTGGTTCTGCGCCACCACCTTGACCTCCTCTAGTCCTTCCTCGTCCGGTATGGAATTCATTAGCTCCACCACGGAGGAGGCTAAACTGACCTTGCTATTCCCATCTTCCCTGGAAGCATCGGAGGAGTGTGAAGTGGGGTCTCCTCCGCGGGGCCCTGAGCAAGAGGCAAAGCATTCCAAATAATCCGTTTTGCTTACTGATTGAGAATAGTTCTGCTGCGAAAAGGACGGGGATGAAATGGCACTCGGACCATGGTGAGAGGGCGGCATATACGCCTCTCTCTCTCACACTCCCTCCCTCCCTTCCTATATATATATATATATATATATATATATATATATATATTTGTTTGACTTCAGGACAAAAAATAAATAAATATCACAGACTCCTGTTTCCTCCTTTCCCCCCCCCCCTCCTGGAAACAATCGGTTGGCAAAAATAAATTCCTCCTCTTTCGTTGCGTTTCACACCGTAATATGGATGTGTATATAAATATTATATGCGGCCACAGACCGATATATAATAACTTTTTTTTTTTTTAGTGTGTATGTGTGTTTTTGATTTTATTTGCTTTTGCCTGAGAAAAAAGCACACAGACACAAAAAACTGGGCCAATTGTACTCCTTTACAGATATTCTCGTCACTCCTCTATCTTTGCTTTCCTTTTCTTATTGTTTTTCTCTCTTTTGTCTCCTTCCTCTACAATTCTCCTTGTGCTGCTGGCTGCCCAAGGGACAAGCAATTCCCCGCTATTCTCCTGCAGGACCAAAATGAAGCAGGCACTGACGACAGCTGCCCCCAGGGATGGAAGAAGTCACTCACCACCACCACCACCTTTCGTCTTGACGGTCTTTGTTTGCCCCCTGGCAGCGAACCACAAAAGTGAGAGTGAGTGAGTGAGTGAGAGAATCACAAGTGATGGCCTCTCTCCGTGTGGAAGAGTTTCCTGGGCGGTAAACAGACAACAGTCCTGAAACAAAAGAAGTCGATGCAAATGAAGAAACAAGCAGAAATCCTCTGAACGCTGAACACGTCTACTTCTTTTTCTTTTTCTTTTTTCCCTCTCCTTCCTGCAGAATACCTGCTACCACCTCCCTCCACCAACCCTTTTTTTTTTTGTTTTGTTTTCTTTTTTCTTTTTGTTGTTGTTGTCCTTTTTTTGTTTTTCTCTTGTTTTCCTTTTTTGTGGCCTGACTTGGATGCCCAGGCCAGGTAGGTATAAATAATGGCCAACCCTTTTTGCAGAGATCAATGCCTTGCGGGATAGTCGTTGTTGTGATTTTTTATTTTTATTTTTTTATGTGCGTGCAGAGTGCAAAGCGCACATAATAATAATAATAATAATAAAGAAATTGAAAAAAAAAAAAAAAAAAAAGAAAGAAAAAAAGAGAGAGAGAGAGAGCGGTCAAAAAGGGGACATGCAGTTTTGGGCTGTCAAGGGAGACAACATCGTTCAGTGCAGGAGAAGTACAGAAAGGGGGGAAGGGAAAAGGCGAGGAGGAATCCCATTCGCCAAACATCTCGTGTATTCGTATGCACATAAACATTCACAGAAATAAATAAAGACAAACAACAACAACAACATAATCACAAACAAACCATTAATATCAAATAACAAAAGGAAAGGAACAACACGCACAAAACAAAACAATAAAAAAAAAAAATAATCCAAAACAAAATAAATATGACTCATAATGTTTTTGAGACCGGTAAATATGCTTTTGACCGTTCAAAGAGTTGCCTCCGCGTCATACGTGGCGTGCCTTTCGCATGCACCACAGATGCTGCAAGGAGTGCCTCCGCTTCCTTCCTTGTCGTTGTTCGCCTGCTCTCCACGCTCTCGACACTAACACGCCACACAGTTGTCGCGGCCGGTGGAACGTTTTCTCCCCCATCCGGGCCGTACACCTCCTCCGGTGCGCATACGATCTCCCACTTGTCACCTGTGCACATCAGCGACACAACTTTTTGAAAGCACAGAAAAGATTGCCGCAAATTATGCCCTTCCGCTTTCTTTCCATTCACATAAGTTGAAAAGAACCGGGTGCCATCGGAAAGAAAACCCACAATGTGAAACCGCAATTTCCCTTCTTCGCCAACACACCTCAGTTCATTTCTAAGCTCACGCCACTTGTCGTCTGTCTCGTCTTCGTCGCCGCGCCAACGGTTGTCATTGTCTACCTCGGGCAGACCAATCTTGACCTGAAACTGCGTGGGAGTAGTACCAGAAATGGGCACTCTTCGCGTGATGGCACGGAAATGGATGCGTGCCCCTCTGTAGTGGGTAAAACTGGGGTCCAGTGAAGCGTTTGCAAGGAGCGCCTCACCCTCCCGTGACCAGCGCTTGGTCAGATAATCGGTGTACCTTGTTTGCAAATCGTCATGATTCGCGAAAATCATGTACGCGTCGTAGCGCCAATTACCAACAGCCAGTAACAGCACCAGCACGGCAAGCCACACCGCGTAACTTTCCATCATACCACCCATAAGCCGAGAAGGGGGCGGCTGAACATGTTGTGGGTCCATGTTAACATCATGCGATGTTCTTGTCGCGGCAGCTGCAGTTTCTGGCAACGCATCCGAAAGGGGTTCTTCCCCCTCCGATGCGGGGACAACACCACCAGAAGACTTTGCAGAGTCCGTGCTCATGAGTGACGTCCTGTCGCAAAGCTAAGAAGCCGCACAGACTTCGCTCCCTCTTCACTTCGTGGGTTTTGAATGCACCAAAAGCAAACCACACACACACACACACACACACTCGCTTTATAAAAACACAGCGCACGGAGAGAAGAGAAAAGAAAAAAAAGAAAAGTAATGACTGGCGTAAAAAATAAGCAATAAAACAATCAACATGGAAATATAATAGAAAACAAACAAACAAAACATGCCGCCTGACCCAGTTCTTATGTGCTTAAGGTGAACAGGAAAAAGAAAAGAATATCCTCTTTTTTCTCCATTTTGCATCCCCTCCAATCGCTCTCATTTTTACAATTTCATTACACTCATGTCACTTGTCAGCTCCCCAAACAAGCCAATGAGCTAAGACATGCAAAAAAAAAAAAAAAAAAAACCAAACAAAAAACCAAAAAAAAAAAAAAAGAACCAAATAATAATAATAATAATAATAATAATAATAATAATAAAGAATTAATGCGTGTATTCTATTTCGCCCATTCGATCCAACACGCCCACGTACATATTATATATGTATATATAAACAGCCACGCCCTCCAGTGC